ACAATGAACGTGGAGAGAAGGACAACAATGGGGGAGGCGGGAGGAATCAATTGGATGACATGGCTCAGCTTCGTAGACGTGGTCATTCTGTATGACTTGTCTTTATTCACACAAAATATATTATTCTATCTTCAGCTTAAATGTGTTCTTCGGAAGTTCTAATTATCATATTATTGATTGTCACGATACGATTAGTCAGAATAGACAATAATGTGACTTTCACGCAAGATCTTATAGATTAAGCAGTCACATCATGACATATCTACAACTTTAGGATTAGGTCTATTACAGTAGTAGTACTAATAACGAAGTGGACAATAATACCAATACTGTTCATTTGTGTAAGCTATCCTAATATTATCCTTAACTCTAAAACTGCTTTGGTTGGTTTAATAGTTTTATACATGCATAAATATATTCATGTATATTAGAGCAAAGCTTGATGATGATTTAACTGAAAACAATATTGTTCGATTATATATGTTGTTCTAAACAACGAGGTAGGAATTTTTAATATTTTAAGGAGAACAACGCTAATTTCTTTCGAAGAAACTCGGACAAGGTATTTGCTTAATTTTCAACAGCCTCTATGATCCCCTACCATAACTCAGTCTGTGATGCAGATTATATTTAAAAAGGTTTAATTTATGGAGAATACAAAGCCATTCCGATCTACAGAAACTATCATTGACAAACGTTTTCAGTTACATCGCTTTACGTAAAATCATATTGTGATGCATATGTAGCTGACCGGTTCTGACAGATACTCACTGAAGACGCTGGACGAAGACTGCTCTCTGTCAAACCCTTTATTTCATTGTAGCAAACGAAAACACGAGTGGGAGATAATCGAATGTATTTAAACACAAAATTACAGAATTTCTTAGTAAAATCTGAGAAACATGCAGTAAATACTTCATCTAAAAAATGTAAATCAATCGTCTCGAAATTGATTGTTCTTTCGTTTCTACAGCAACTATTCTCTGTTCTCGTTCTCATTTCTCCGATCTTTTTAACCTTCTGCAGCCAGGTTTTTTACTTCCGATTGATGATACATACTACTTGTATCTGTCGACATCAGTAGCACACAGCACACCATCAGACTCTAACACGATCAAAAGCTTATTTTAAAACACACAGTTTTTGAATTCTACTCCGTGTGAGTGCTCAAGTATGTTCGAAGTTTGCAACTACGATGACACTACTGCTCCCTATTCGGTGATTCAGAGATGAAGATTAATCCACTATTGATTGACAGTACTACATACTTACTTACGCCTGTTACTCCCAATGCAACATAGGCCGTCGGCAAGCATTCTCCAACCCACTCTGTCCAGAGTATTCCTTTCCAGTTCGATCCAATTTTTGTTCATTCTTCTAATGTCTCTCTCCATTTCTCGGCGTAATATGTTCTTTGGTCTTCATCTTCTCCTTTGGTCTTGAGGATTCCAAGCGGGGGCTTGCCTTGTGACACAGTTGAGTGCTTTCCTCAATATGTGTCCTATCCACTTCCAGCGCTTTTTCCTCCATTGCAATCTGGTTTGTTCTCTCCCACAGTAGTTTGTTGCTAATAATATCTGGCCAGCGGATACGGAGTATTTTGCGTGGACAACTGTTAATAAACACTTGTATCTTCTGGATGATGGCTTTCGTAGTTCTCCAGGCTTCCGCCCCATACAGTAGAACTGTCTTGACATTTGTATTGAAACTCCTGACCTTGATGTCGGTTGACAACTGCTTTGATTTCCAGATGTATTTCAGTTGTAAATATACTGCTCTGCCTTTACCGATCCGCGCTTTCACATATGCATTGAATCCACCGCGTTCATCAATGATACAGCCCAGATATGTAAAGGTATTTACATCTTCCAAATCTTCTCCGTCAGTTGTGACTGGATTGGTGCATGCTGTGTTGTATCGAAGGATCTTGCTTTTCCCTTTGTGTATATTGAGACCTACTGCTGCTGAGGCTGCTGCTACACTGGTCGTTCTCTCCTGCATTTGTTGTTCCGTTTGCGATCGGATTGCCAGATCATCTGTGAAGTCTAGATCGTCCAGCTGCATCCTAGCTGTCCATGTATCCCGTGCTTCCCTTCAGATGCTGACGTGTTCATGATCCAGTCGACCACCAGGAGAAAATGAAAGAGAGATTTAGCTACCTTACCTGACATCGGTCTTTACTTCGAACGAGTTTGTCAACTGTCCTCCATGCAGGATTTTGCAGTTTAATTCATCATGGGAATACTGTATGATATTGAATATCTTCTCAGGCACGCCGTAGTGTCGAAGAAGCCTCCATAGTGTTATACTGTCCACGCTGTCAAATGCTTTTTCATAGTCAATGAAGTTGATGTAGAGTGGTGAATTCCATTCAGTTGGTTGTTTCACAATGATCCGTAGAGTTGCGATTTGGTCTGTACACGATCGATCATTACGGAATTCTGCCTGTTGGTCTCAAAGCCAGGTGTCAACAGAGTCCTTCATTCCGTTCAAAAAACACCTTGCCGTAGAGTTCTCCTGGTTTTGATAGAGTTATGCCTCTGTTGTTCTCACACTTGCTGAGACCGCCGTTCTTCGGCATCCTGATCCGGTGTCCTTTTTTCCGGCCTGTTGGTGCTTGTTCTTGATCCCAAATCTTGCTGAGGATAATGTTGAGTATCTTTGCAGGTGATGTTATGTCTGCTTTTAGTGCCTCTGCTGGAATGTTGTCTGATCCTGCTGCTTTACCGCTCTTTATTTGTCTGATGGCCACGCCGAACTCTTCAATTGCTGGTGGGCCAACATTGAGTGGGAAACGAACTGCGCTTTCAAACAAACTAAAATCGACAAATCCTCTTTTCTCAGTAGCTCCATTTGCATTCAGCAATTCACATGTACGTGCAGCAGTACATACGTTGGAAGAACTGAGAGAAGAGTATACGTTCACATTTCTGAGCATGTTCCCAAAAACTTGAGGCTGAAAGGGACTAAGGCTCTCAGTAGTGCAATAGCTCGGCATTTACTTGTCACCGGGCTTACCATCAATATTCCGCACGCTTTAAAAATTATCAGTAGACAAAATGTATTCAGAAAGAGACAGTAGTTAACTTATTATTACCCTGGTAATTCACTTTATTTTCTTATTTTTACTTTATTGGTTGGTTATTTACGCAATCTTAATTATTTTTAAAATATTTAATTTGTGTTATATTCCCCTCCTCCCCCATTACCGAACTTGTAAACCAACTTTTCATCCACACATTTCCGCCCACTTACCCTCTTAAATTTTGTTAGCTTTTCAAATTCCGTTCAACTATTACGTAACCTATTTTATCATTTAATTCCATGAATCCTTCACTACCTCGAAAATTATCATACAATGTATAATTCCATCAAACCATTAGAACATCTTTCCTTAATTGTTTTATTAATTCTAATACTAATTAACCTTTGACCTGTTCTTGCATATATATATATATATATATATATATATATATATATATATATATATACAGTTATTATTGTAAACCTTTGTCATTCTAATCATTTACATTCATTTATGTCGATTGTTTTACACTATTTCTTATCTTAATGTGAAATTCTACTACATATTTGGTTGTAAGCAGCTGATGAGAAACCTCAAAATACATGAATTCATACTATTTTGCATCAATATTTGTTCTTGCTTTATTTAAATTGAGTGGGAGGTCCGTTAGTGATGCTTCGTTGTTGGGAGGGCCTAGATTCACAGTATGGCTTAAAATTTTTGTTTTCAGCTATAATATATGCTTTTATCTCCAATAAATGTGATCATAAATCGCGAGATATACCTTTATCGTGAGTTATATCTTCCACTGATGCAACGGTTGGCCAAATTAGTATATGCCGTACGTAAGAACAATGTAAAGTTGATACATGTAGGTAGAAATCTATTCCTAAACAATGAATGTATCAGTTTCTGCATATCACCACCATGCTACGTTTGTAGCGTCAACGCATTATGATAACTTGGGAGTTTAGCACTTTGTCTCTTGATCCAATTCCAATGATACCTACCTTTAAAAGACTAGATTTATGTCGATATATATGGTGCATGGTTGTGTGACCATAGTGGGAAAGAAACGTGTATGAGTTAAAAGCAAGAAATCACTAAACATATTTTCCCGTAAGCATTCCAAGTGCCTTCCGATAACATCGGTGACCGTTTTGTTCAGCGTAATAATTAAAGACTGTCATGATACTACAGAATAATCACATATGCTTCGAAAGTGCGGACCATGAGGTAGTAAAGCTATGTTTATAGAATATGAGGCCATCCTATCACTTGAAGACTTCTAAGAATGAAGAAAAGAAATAGATCGAAAATCCGACTCAATATAACTCCTTAATGAAGAAGCAAAGAGTTTGCACAAAACGCCTCCTCTATGACCTAGATTACTGATCCACATTCTCATTCCAAAAGATTGGTTTCAAATAAATGGATAATTTCTTCGAATAACCGAACTCTAGGCAAACAATGTCACAACTTATCCTCATTATATTTTTTCGGAATTCACTGTCCCTCCATTTCAGAATATTTAACGAACACGCTCAACTCTAGTATGTAATTCTCCGAATAACAAAATATCTATCACGGTTCACAACAGTCACTGTATTCAACAGGCAAAGTGTCCTTGTAAAAACCTGATTGCTTTGCCTGAGATGCTGAAATTTAATGCTGAAAATATATCGCGATGAAAAATGGTGACGAGTTGAGGCTGTTTACAAAATATTAAATTTTGCCTGGCTTATTAATAGGTTATTACTTATTTGATAAACATGCAATGGGACTGCTTTTTATTGCAAAATTTCTCAAACTAATAACATATTCCGTTCGTAATCACTTCTAGACCTTATCAAAATTTCTTTCTGATATAAGAAAGTTTAACAAATGAAATGTGAGGCGAAACACAGGTTCAATGTACAGTAAGGTAGTTGCGGGATTACAAATTTGGCGTGATTAGGTTATTTGATTGGGAATCATGAAGGTGATCGTTAAGTCGTTTGATACCCGAGTCATAGACACAAATGACTGTCCAACTGCTGCAGATCTAAAGATTCTACTAGCAAACAAGGACAATTTGCCACTGGATAACTTGCAGTTATACAACTGTGGATCATTAATTAGTGATTCTCAATCTTTGGTATCTCTGTCGAGTGACGCATCTATCGATGTCGTTGTTCCGGCATTAGGAGGTACGTATTTTTTTGTCTGTTTACATTTCTTCAGGTAAGGTACACGGATCACTTGCGCGTGCTGGTAAAGTTCGTGGGCAAACCCCGAAGGTTGAAAAACAAGAAAAACGGAAGTCTCCACGTGGTAGAGCTAAGCGTAGGATGCAGTACAACAAGCGATTTGTAGCAGTTGTACAACAAACTGGTGGCAGAAGAAGAGGCCCGAATTCTAATGTAAAGTCATCCTAAAGTGAATGTCGAATAAACCTTTTGTTGGAAGTTATTCTCCATATTTTGTACCAAGTTTTTTAACCCTCAAACTAGTTTAATCTCAAGTAGAGCTTGTCATTATTCCAGCTGTGCCGAGTGGCACCATTATTGAAACAGTTGTCACTAGTCGTTACCTTTAATATACTAAAAGTTTATGTCATAAAATCAAAACGCATTGTTAAAAGAACTTCATAAAACTCTAGACCCTATAAACGACAAAGTAAAGGGTTAGTTCTTTCGAAGGAGTGGTGAGTTATGCCTTAAGTGGGTTTGTAAGGGCAGTTAACAGTAGTTTCACAATGTTACCTGGTTACATTGTGTGGCTCCTTGTTAAGGTATGCTCAGCTTTTCAACATTTTTATATATGGTCACAATTAAGTGTGAAAACTATGCACTCCTGCGGCTTTCGTCACAAAACACCGTATAATCTGTTGGTAGATATTTCAAATACCCACTAGTTCATAACAAACCTAACGGGTTCAGTGTGAAGTGACGGACATCTATCTGCCCCTTCATCGTGATTTCTTATTATTCGGGACCTTAACATTTGGTTTTCATGTCATAATCTAAGATGTCCATTGTCTCACATTTGCAGTCACATAACTTAGGAAGGTAGTTACTAACTTTGCGAGGCATTAGCGATTTCTCTTTTGCTACGTTGAGTATTTGTGTCTTCATTCTAGTAAATATAACTAATAGAATGATCAGGAATCTTGATAAAAGGACTGATTGGTTCAAAGTCAACACTACCTTTCATATTCAAGAAACTGTAAAATATTGTTTCGAGAGTTATCTAGAAGACATCTCAGTAATGTATTTCATAGACCAAGTACACGTTTTTTTGCACTTAGCTTTGAATTATTTGTGAGAATCTCTACCTAGCTACCAAAGCTGAAGTATAAGGCGTTACTAGTGATTGCCATCAATCACCAAACATGTTGACTTAATTACTTGAAGCTTTGGCTTATTAAGAAAAATATTTTTCCGCTTAACTGCTTCCATCTTTTATTGCATATGGATGTTTTAACTGTTCTAAAATGTTTAACCTAGGCTGACAGCTGAAATGCGAGGGTTATTATACATGAAATTTTCATTCGATTCTAGGATAAATGACCAAGTCAGTGGAGTACAGCAGACAAGTTTGCGAGTGTCCACTAACACCACAGGTTACTAATATCAAACGATGCCACCGTGAAAACTAATTTTTCTAAAAATCATTTAGAATAAAAACTAAGTAAAATAAAAATACCCAACTTGTACATGATGACACCATTTGGATAGTTAATTTGAATGAAAATGGATGTTGAGAAATATATAAAGGAGCACCATATGACTCAGAGAAGATGTGCACTGAATCGCTCCCGTCTATTTGTATTATGGTGCTTTCTTCCAGGTAAAACGGGTTTGTTATTTCGTAATTAGTATGTATCATTGCAATGAATTGGACGTTGGGGTCCAGTCATAAGCAGGAATTCAGCCTAAGGTCAGATGTCGATCATACGTAGCAGTTTGCTTTAAGGCGAATGAAATGTGCTCATAGATTAGGATCATTGCGTTTTTAGATGAAGGCCGGAGTGGCAGCTGTTTTTGCATCTTAGAACGTGAGAATCCTTTGATCGGTTCGAATTCCGTATCTTCCCCAACACACTTTTGGGTCCAAGAATAATTCCTAAATAAAATGATAATTAACCTATTAGGTCGCAAACACCGGTATATTTTTGATGTAATACTATGTTTGTCTTCGACAAAGCTGAACTATACCAACTTTGTAGTGAACTAAAACTACAAGGTGAAATTTGATCATCGGCGTAATGTATATACAAAAAACTGAGCTATACCACAGTTCCTACGACAAGTTCTGCCATATTGTCTTACACAAGTAACTCCCTTAAATGCTTTCCATATGTATAATGATAGGACCTGTAAGATAACACAGTGTCATCATGATACTGAATCTAACATATATATCAGTGTCTTGACACGCAGCAGCGCTCCACAGTCTTTTTGATAAAGACCTTCCTAAATAATTAATTATCAATTTATCACGAGTATAACTGTTGGGTTCATTCATTGTCATATATGTTCAGTCGATGGTTGAAGCCAGTAATTTCAGTGACCTGATAGTCATGATATTTCATGCCAGTAAACTTGCTCACGCCCCATCATCGAATAAGGTGTTCGGGATATGCATTACTTTTGTACAACCGTTCACCACCGGAATGCATGATGTTGACTCGTATAGGTTGGAAAAAAGCTAGGCACACCCAAACTAGAACATGGTATCAGTACATGAAGCTATTGACTGTTGGACAGCAGTGTTTTTAGGTACAGACAATATGGTTGAGGTCGGCATGATTATCGCGACCAATGTTTAAAGACTTTGGTTAATATTGTTCAGAATTATTCACAGTGACTCATATGCATTCACACTCTGACTTACCTTAGATCCCAAGTTTACCAACTATCTTTTATATTTAGTCCTACGAATCCATGTTTCTGTGATCATATCTGTCCGTGATCCTTCCTGCTATCACTAATAATGTTACTACTTAACTTGCTCTGGCGTCTCACGTTTCTGATGTAGTGTAGCGACTTTAACCGACGTATCTGTGCCTGTTTTTACATTATGTTTGACTGATTTACTCTTCGTACCTATCTAACTGATACAACCTACTAGATTAGCACTTTCAAAGATGAAATCACTGAAAACACAAATAGGCAGCAACCACAATTACAACTCCTATTGTCTTATGTCTCAAAGAGAATCAAGAATATCAAATGGCAACACTTGACCTGGGATTCCGAATTGTTATTTATTTTGAATGTAAATCTTTACATACGTTGTCAAATAACTTAAAATTATGACGGAAACAATTGCGAAGTTTATGATGGTTGGTTTATTGACAGAAATTTTCAGTCAATTAAAATGAATCGTAAGATGGTCAAAACAAACGGTTTCGCAGTGCTGTATTCTCAGACATACAGGTACTTCACTTGGAAGTCTGATCAGCCTTAATGGGTTGTTGTCTGACGAAATCTATGCACAGATTTGGAAAGCTCGTTTGGTTTCTGCCAACTTACGTCACCTGGGGGCGAAGGCGAGATATCCGTTTGTCGATTAACTGACGAGTATACTGTTCGGCAGTTCGTTCTGTTCTACTTTACAGCTGCGAAACGTAGAGAAGAAGATACTCGTAAGCTACAAGTATTTGACCGCAAATGCCTTAGAAATATTGCTCGCATCTGCTGGGATCATTGGGTAAGTAATAGTGAGGTTAGACGCAGGGTGTTATGGAATGATGGCAAATCAGTTGGTTGGGCCACGTGCTACGTGTGCCTGAACACCGATTACCACGATGCGCAATACTGACTAGTTTTGGGGATGGTTGGAATAAAGTTAGGGGCGACCGAACCAAAACGTGGTACCAGTCCTTGAAGTCACTAAATTTTGGTTTGAGCAATGTTGGCAGATGCAGACTACTTGGTTGGGGTCCGCGTGACTATTGTAACCAATGGTTGGAGACTGTGGGTGACATGGTTCAAAATCAATCACAATGGCGTAGGTGTGTACACTCTGTCTTCCCTTAAAATTGCTTTATTTATACGAACTGATTCTTTCTTCCTGTACTATATTCTTATACACAATCTTTCTTTTATATATTACTGCTATTGAAGTAACTAGTTCTATTAATATTGGTGTTCGTCTTGTTCTAATGAGGTGTGGCAACATGGAACGAATGCATATATGTGCCTGGTGCTACGTTGTAGCTGACTGACTTACTCAAAAATACAGGTCAGTTTCTAGATACGTGTAGAAAAAGATGTCTTTAGTCATATATTATGAGTAAAAATTTTTCCGAATGGTAAAAAATACAGGTCAGTTTCTAGATACGTGTAGAAAAAGGAGATGTCTTTAGTCATATATTATGAGTAAAAATTTTTCCGAATGGTAAAAAAACTTAGAAAGAAATCCAGGAAGATGTTGAGAATAAAGCACCAAGTGGATGCCCAGATGAATTCTTTCAGTTCCTAAAATTACATTTAGGAAAAAAAATGAGTGGTCAATCATTTAAATATTTCGATTAGTGGGTAGGCGTGTAATTAAATCGTTAACGTTTTCCTAGCAATTAACCAGAGACAGCTCTTCTTACTTATCAACTTTGCTTTATCTTGTCTCATAAGATCCTGTAGATCAAATTTCTTTTTATAACAAAAGTTCTCAACGTCTTTAGGATCTAAATCACATCTTCGAATCCGGCAATATTGATCCGAATTATTTTTCGATACACAGTTCACGATTGTGGTGTCCATGTTTTTTTTTCTTAAAAATAATCTACTTAATTTTTTGCGAGGTTGTTCGAAGTCACTGGATAAAGTTACCTTCCTTCAGTATGTTCTTTTTATTCAGCTATATACGAATTATTCAATGCAGCCATCTCCAAAGTAGACTAATACTCATTTTGATGAATTCCCTATTTGCTTCATATCATGGTTTACATAGTCTTCTGGTTAAGTTGGACGGGAATGTTCAAACGTCCTAGCTTACGTCGGAGTCACACTTCGCGGTACAAGAAACGAAGTACGAACACTGGCGCATGGGCCGGTCCATGGCGTGAACTTTACCAATGCGTGTTTGTTGTCCTCGACTTTGATGGTGATCGGTAAACTGCCCAATATTGGGTGACATGACTGCCAGTGATTTGACTGAATGCAAGTGACATTTTGTTGGCCCTACATATCTAATGATTGCCATCTGGCATATTGGTGATATACTGAAATCCGCAAACTAACTGTCTTAATAATTCAGATGGAGTGATCAAGTAGGGTACTGTAATATCTCAATTTTTTTCGTTCTGTATTGAAAGTTTAGATTCAAACTTTCACATTACAATCTTAAAATTCAAGGAACCTTGTCAAAGTATAAAATAGTGGGGTCACAATACTTTCCATATATTGGGATCTGTTTGATGGTTTCGGTT